TTCGTTACGTACAATTATTTTGAAAAACATCCATTAGTGATAATTCACTAATTTACGAAACTTTTACATGTTTTTTGTGCCTTCAATTATATTGATATTATTATAGAATATTTAAGTGATATTTAAACTTTTCATTAAACAATCTCTAAAAGAAATACCTATTTATCAGTTAAGTTAAACGTATAGAATCCATTTCAAATTCTATTGCAGAAAGTGTAGAGCAATTTACTTTTTTGGGGCAGGTAAGATCTACCTAAGTATTGGATTAATACTAAAGTGAATTTAGCAAGTCACGTACCTTGTACAAAGTGAATCGTGTACAAAAAGGTCAATGTTGAATAGAAATCAATTGGTGTTGTAGGGTTAGGTTAGGTACCTTACTATTATATCCTATATATTATTAAACTAGTGTTTATTTATCTTTAGCGTATTCCATAGAAAATAAATTATAATTCTATGTAAGAAGAAAGACACAAAGGATGGGTATAAAGCAAAGGTCGTAATGCAAACTTTTGTATCAGCCAGATTATTTATTTAAAGTTTTATTGCATGCTTTAAGCGCAAAGCGCATAGGTATGTTCTACTAGCGCCTAAAAATCAAGATTCCAAGGTTTTGTCGTATGAAATCATAACTAGCAATCATATTTTTATAACATAATATTTTTAATTTTAGTAGTTTTAACTTCTAAGTTTAGTGTAAATTTTGATATCATTAAATTAACTATATCGTTATATTAAATCGCGATTTTAAAAAGAAACTATTACTTTACAAGATGCAGTTGTGTTTCTAAAAAGTTAAGTTTTTCAGAGGCTCTGAAAAACTTAACTTTTTAGAAACACAACTGCACTCTGAATCAGAGCTAATTTTTAATATTTATTTTTAAATACATACTTAAATATCACGTTTTTTGTTTTTAATAACAGACAACGATATAAAAATCTATACATATAATAAAACTGTAAATAGCAGATGTCTGTACATTTTATATTTTTGTAATAAAAGTGATTGAGGGGTACTAAAAATAAGTAATTAAATACATTTCTACCATTTTTAGAATTTTCTGTCTGTCTGTCTGTCTGTCTGTCTGTCTGTTTGTTTGTTAACGTATCACGTATAAAGTACTAATTTATATCATAAGAATTGTTAAGGAAATTATAAAGTGTATCTTCGGGTTACATTTAGTCTTTATTTCATTAAAATCAGTTCATTCCATCAAAAGTTATGATAAATAATCTGAAGTATGGGTAGGGAAGTATAGGTACGAATTTGCCCAAGGGTGGCTTTGTTTGAGTCATCAAGTGCATTTTAAACTAATATCATATCATAAATCATAGTTAAATTATGTAAAATAATGATATAATTATGTATATCTAAAACGCAGTAAACAAAAGTATTAAAGAACGTATTAAATATATTATACAAAAATATATTAACCTTATTAACTAAATCTGAAGCACAATAGTTAACCCATTTCTTCGATAGATGGTGGTGTTGTGAAAATGTAATGCAATTGCAATGTGGTTTTTTCATGTAGATGAGTTTTCATATTTACTGCTAATCTTTATTATATTACTCGCTGCCCTACTGCGTGTTGACAAACTCAATTTATTCTTTACCGCCGAGTAGTCTATGTGGTAAATCAAATTTTAAAAGAGCTATTAACAATTGCGTTGGTTTTGGCGAGAGTCAAACTTTATTTTTTGCTTACTGTGCAGGCACTGATTTATAAGTTCTCTTGCGTTTTATATAATGTATCAATCGCGTCAATTAATCTCTTTTATTTTTAGAATTGATGTTAGCAGCGCCATCTCTCTTTAAATATATACATATAATAAAAATGATGATAACATGTTGTGTCTCTTTCTGTACATTGTATATATATTTTGGTGGCTAAAATCATTATGGGGAACTGAAAATAATTAAATAAGAACATTTTATAATTTTTAGAATTGTCTGTCTGTCTATTTGTCTGTTATTATATGAACGCATCACGTCTAAAGTAAACATCTTTTATTTTCAAAGAAATCGTTAAGAAAATCATAAAGCGTATCTTCGAGTTACATTTAATCTTTGTTTTATTAAAATTGGTTAATTCTATCGAAAGTAATGATTATTATTTTGAAATGTAGGTTTGAATTTGTTCAATGGCGCCATAAAATCTCATAAATAGTAATAAAAAGATTTGTGTGGAAAAAAAACGTTCCATAATAATTAATATATTTATACTTAAAACACAAAAAGAGATTTAAAAAGGATGTTTTCTCACACAAAGGACGTAATAGATGGAGTTGTGCAAATTACAAACTTTTCTGAATTGCTGTGTTGAGATTTTTCGCCGATGAATCGTATTGAGACTTACTGAAGAAATTTGTATCCATCGAAGCCATACAACGGAACCCGACCAAAAATAAAAATTTTGCAACGAAATGTCGTGATATTGTATTTATAATATAAGCAAAATCAGTACTGCCATTTTAGCGCTTTGGGAACTAGATTTAGCGCTTTTTTGGAATTGGCATTTCGAAATTTTAGCACCTAGCTTAATCCAGCGCTTTTTGGTGTATTTAGCACACATTTCAATATTTTAGCAACTAGCGGGTTATTAACTCTTTTATAGCAGCACTGTTAGTCCACATTACCGATAATAATAATGACCTTTATTATTTTTTCCCACAAATAGTACATTGCAGTTTATCTTTTTCAAACATATTTTTTCCACAAAACAAAGAGCATGGGAGACGAGTCCAAACTAGGATACCCTGTGCTATGGATCTCCTGGCTTCCCCTTTAGGATGAGCAACTTGATTTTTTTACCGACGACTATAAGCGGGGAAATCCCCTTTATTAAAGTTTTCGTTCATGGTTTTGGCAACGCATTTATTTTGCTTTATTCAGTTTCAGTCAGTTGCTTAGAGCACAGCTAAGTTAAAAGTTACTTAGAAGTTATAACATAAAGAAACTGTATAGCAACCGCAATCAGATGCTGACATCTGAAACTAAGTTGCGAAATACATTGCACTTTAAAACAATTAATGACATTTTTATTGTTCGTACAGTACTAACTACTGTTGACAGCAATTGCCATAATTATAAGTCGATGTCCTGCGAAGTATTGATACATCAAAAAAATATTGCCAGAAAAAAAAACTTTATGTTGTTTTCTTTATTATAATTATATAAAAAAACACAAACTTTGTTTGTAGTTAATTTAGCGCGAAATCTAGGGTTTTTTTAAAGCGCTGTTTTCATGAAATCTAGCGCTTTTTGTGTTGTCCTAGAGCTGAATGAGTTTTTTTATCTGGCAGCACTGCCCAAAAACCCTCTATTAAGAAGTAACTTTCCTTTCAGTTTTAAGCGCGTTCAGTTCCCAGTTACAGTGAGCGTGTGTTATGCGATGACCGTAAATAAAGCGCAAGGTCAAACTTTACGCGTTGTAGGAGTGTACCTCAGTACTGACTGTTTTGCACATGGCCAAATCTATGTTGCTTTTTCCCGCGTTAGTAGCCCCCGTAACCTTTTTGTGTACACCCCGGCTAAGCCTACTTCTAACGTCGTTTACACAGAAGCTCTATCATAAACGACTTAGAACTTTGATGATAATGATTTATTTAGTTACCACTTATTGATACAGTAATGAAATAAATCGTTTAATATTCTCTTACCTAAACGACAAATTCTATATGTAAAACCTGTATACGCGAGCTACGCCGCGGGCACAGCTAGTATTAAATATAATAACTATGATCATTGAGTGAAGAGACAAATGAATGCTGGGCACTAAATTAAATATTATTTCCACTTAAAAATGTTTCTCAAATATTTATGTTTAAAGGAGAGAGAATTACACGGCCCTATTGTGATGCCTTGCACAGGAACGTAGCAAATCCCTTAAAATGGATAGGACGTTTCACCAAATCCTCGTCTGATTATTATTTATTGTAGAAGCAACGAATTGAGAACCAAAATAATGAGTTTATAAGAAATAAGATCATCGTGATTAAAATAAGATGTTAGTTAAATATTAGAACTTAGTAACTAGCATATAAGTACGATGCTGTAATAGAATTCAAATTATCATTCTTATATTCTTATATATCATTATTATAATAATTTTTTTACGTGGTAGAGCCATGCTGCAGCTATATTAGTAGTATAGTTGTAGCACGAATGGGTCGGCTCGACCAGGGAAGGACCACGCTTTCACAGAATACCAGCGTAAAATGGCAGCTTCATACTGCTGTGCTTCGTATGGTGAGTGTAGAGAACCGAAGACCCATTTTACTGGAAAAGAGGCGTTCCATCTTAGTCCTCACGGGTAACGACGCATCTGCATTTTGATTCTTCATTGAGGATAAATATAGATGTCTATGGGTCGCAGCAACCACTTACCATCAGGTGGACTGTGTGCTCGTTTGTTACCCTATCCTATAAAAAAAATTATCCACCACTCAGTAAAATATCAATGCTAGGCGTATATAAATTAAGCTTTTTCAAAGAGGAACTATTTGTCTTAAGGCCTATCCTTGATTAAGATTCAAAATGCAGATACGTTGTCACCCGTGCGGACTAAGATAGAATGTCTCGTTTCCAGTAAAAAGGGTCTCCGGTTCTCTACACTCATCATACGATACACATATATACACAAACATAGACGTAAACACACAACGATATTTAAGTATTTTTAGTATGACATATTGCGAATGTTTCGGTTATTTGTTGTGGAATTTATTACATCTAAGGCATAGGACTAAGATGGTTTCTTTAAATCACATTTTAAAATAGCAGTACTTGCACTGCTGTGGTTTGGTCAGTAGGTTATAGATCATCTCATTCTTCACAGGTGATAACTCAACTGTAGCTTTCTCTGCTTCAGGTTGACTGCAGTTACCATCAAGTGGGCTGTAGGTTCGTTTGTCACTTTCAGTTTTATAAAAAAAAATTAAGGCGTAATAGGGTTTATGTGTAGTGTTTTATTAGACAAAAGATTGGTGTATCTTACTTGGCAAAGGACACTACGATATCAGCCTCATCGGAGTTGACCTCGGTGAAGGTAAGCCTCGAAGCCTGTTGCCATACGTCGAGCGCGCGCGCCAGCACGCTGCGAGTGCCATAAGGGTCCAGCTGCGATGGCCGTCTCACTGATGACAAACTGGAAAAGAACTTAATGTTAAGTCGAATTCGAATAAAAATACTCAAAGTTTTTATTGATTTATTACTTTAATTTTTTATTGGTAAGTTTGTATTGGTCATTGGTAACCATGTTGGTAACAGATGGTATTATCATATTTTACAAACTATAAAATCACACTGTGGGAAGTGATGTTGTAGCTCCAGATTATCTAGCTTTGAAATACAAGAAATTCTTAGTAATATTAATAACTACGCTGCTTATGATCTGCTACTGTTCAGTAACTTCTTAGACAAAATCTTTTATTTACCTAAAGATACATTATTTTCTACCGCCTTCAAAAAGGAGCCGGTACTCAATTCGACTCTATGTTTTTTTTTAATGTGTGTTACCTCATAACTTTTTACTGGGTGAACCGAATTCGATGATTCTTTTTTTGTTTGAAAGCTGGTGCTTCACATGTGGTCCCATATAAATTTAATCAAGGTCTCACCGATAGTTTTTGAGTTATTCTTAATAATTTATATTGAAGTCGATTGTACAAAATTTTAATGTTAAATTATTTTAGAATATTTTACACAGAAATTATATTATATTTGCTTATTATATTTTTGGATCTAAACTTTTTGACAGTTTACGTCCGCCATATTTTACACATATACATAGTCACAGATACGAGTACTTATATTAAGTGGGATGCGGGAAGTAAAGACTGTGTAAGAACCCCCGAAGGACGAGGAGTTATAGCCGAAATAAGAATTTAAATTTTTTTGGTTTTTGGCCATTTTTACCCCCTAAGAGTGTAATGAGAACTTTTTGCTCTTATTCAACCATGACCCCCATAACATCATCTCCATGATAGGCTATTCAAACTGACTAGGCCTAAAGTTCGAGTCACCCCCAATTTTTTGTTTTGGCCATTTTGACATCTTAGGAGTGTAATGAGAACTTTTTGCCCCTATTCAACCATGACCCCCATGACATCCTCTACATGATAGGCTATTCAAACTGAATATGCCTAAAGTTCGAGCCATCCCCCAATTTTTTGGTTTTTGGCCATTTTGACCCACTAGGAGTGTAATGAGAACTTTTTCCCCTATTCAACCATAACCCCCGTGACATTTTTACATGATAGGCTATTCAAACTGACTATACCTAAAGTTCAAGCCACCCTCCAATTTTTTGGTTTTTGGTTTGTGGTCGGACATAGAAACATACATATATATGTCACAGTCAAAACTCAAAACCGGTCAAAACTACTTTTGACTGCGAATAATCGGGCAAAAGTAGTTTTGACTAAGGATGTTGATCAATACCACTTTTAAAGCGCGACAAAGTTTATCAGCATTTTTTTTGAAATCCTACTCTAAGTGTTTTTTTTTTATTCTACAATAATTTAAGGGACATTTGCCGCTTAGCGTATGTCAGTCCCATCATACCCTAACATACATGACTTACTCATATAACGTTACTTAATACTTATTATACTACGTGGGCCATGTATTCGAACAGAACTTTCGCATCGTCGCCCTTTGGTTGGGATAGAATATTATGAAATGTGCCTACGTCAGTTCTGTTCGAATTCAAGACCCTTATGAAATTACTTCTAATAGACTCAAATCGAACACATTCCATCAATATATGGTATAGGTCTTCTATAACTCCACAGTCTTCACAATTGGGCGAAGTTGTTTTTCTCATCAGAAATACAAATTTCCTACATGTAACATGTCCAAATCTCTAAGTTTTATTTGTTAAAATAATTAATACGTAAACAAATATCTAATTTATTTTTGATTATGAGGCTTTAACTTGTATACAAATTACAAATTCAGTTCAAAAGATTGCAGATCACCAGATGAATTTATAGAATATTATTTTTAAGTGTCAAACAAACGATTATAAATGTGTGAATATAATTTTAAATGTTTTATTACAAATAAGGACTAATAATAACAATAGTCAGTTTGTCAATAATGCCGTTGCTGCCGGAACTTAGTTGTAATTGATGGATATCGGCTTTTACCATTAACTTAGTCTTTTCCTGCTAAGCCATAATACGGAGAATGTTTTATAGTTAAGTTTCACTTATTTCTTTTAATGGATCTTACAAAGGCGGTTATATTTATGGACAAAGTATAAAGTTACATTATTAAAATCAGTGTCAACTAAAGAGCTTCCCTTTTAGTAAGATTTGTAAGGTATTTAATAAACTTAGGAAGTTGTGCTTGTTAAGTGTGCCTTTTACAATTAATCGGATTTCTTATTTATTTTAAAAAAAAAGTTACCACCATACAAGGACTCTTCTGTATCGTCGAAGGAGTTTACATACATAAATTGTATAAAAACAATAAAAACAAACATTCAGGCCCGGAACAATTATTTGCACACCATACAAATAGCTGTTCCATGCGGGATTCGAGTCCGTGGCACTCAGTGAAGCAACTCAATGCTAAGCCACTGCATCACGGTCTATTAAAATAGAGATTACATGGCAAATAGAAAATAAATTTGTAAGTATCGAATTCAGTTACATGATAAGTTCAAGATAAAATATCTCGATTTTGTTGTTGTCATTTTATGTATGATATTCAGGGCATAAATGTACCTATTTCAAATATGTGTCTATGGCTACAGGTATAAAAATGGTTTTGGAGCGGAGTGGCTAGGTGTTTGGCTGTGACTGGTAGCGGGTTCGATTTTCGCACGGGACAATAGGTATTTATTTGTCCTAATAATATTTGTCTGGGTTTGAATGTTAGCTCATTTAATTTATATTTTAACCATCTGTGAGATAATGCTAATGATAGATTTATAAAAGGAAAAAAAATAGGTTTCATTATTATTTTAACATAATATATTCAATATATATTTCAGGCTACTTAGAAAACGTCCAACTTTATTTGAGTATACGAAAATGGCAAAATGTGCTTTTAGTTGGTTGCATAATTAATAAGTGGTCTACTGCTTAGGTTAAGCGGGAAGAGGACAAGACGGTATATATGTAAGTGAATTGGATTCACATGCTGTCTTAATTCGGAGCCCGGGCATTAGAACTCTGAGTGAAATAAGCGGCCTTGTTACAAAATGTGTTTTATTGATAGACCTGGGCTTAAACTATGGTTTCAAAAGTCTTTCTCTCAAAAGAAATCCCATAGCCGCGGCATAATTGGCTGTCAAATTTCATTATTAACATTTTAATTACAATATTTTTCACAAGACGTCTTTTTGAAACAAACCGAAATAAGTTTACAATGTTTAAGACATTTAAGCATTGTAAACTTATTTTTGTGAAATCGATTGGACTATCAAAAATGATCGTATTGTTATTAAAATCAAAACGTCATATGTGTAGTGAAATACATTTAAAACACATTTTGCCAGTTTCGTATACTTAAATGAAGTTGGACGTACTCTAAGTAGCCTGAAATATATATTGAGTATATTATGTTAAAATAATAATGAAACCTATTTTTTTCTTTTATAAATATATTCCTACTATATAGCATTATCTCACAGATAGCTAAAACATAAATTGCACATGAGCAAACATCCAAACCCAGACAAATATTAGTAGGACAAACAAATACCTATTGTCCCATGCGAAAATGGACCCCGCTACCAGTCACAGCCAAACACCTAGCCACTCCGCTCCAAAACTATTTTTTTAACCTGTAGCCATAGACAGCTATTTGAAATAATGTATAATAAATACATTTATTACACATAATATGACGTTGCTTTAGGTTCAACGTATGAACGTAGATAAATTAAATAGAAAGAGTGCAAATATAATTTTAGATGTGTTGATTTTTCTAACAAATGTAAACACTTTAAGTGTCATTAAATATGGCCACTATAAAGTGTCAGCAAACACCCGTTTGCCAGTGCTGCGGTCATCGCATGCATATCGGTGCAACACATTCTGTCGTATAAAATATCGCTTCCGCGGCTAATTAATACTAACCAACGCGAGCCCCGTTCGCCGCTGTAAATAATTATTTCAATAACATTATTAGCGGCCACAGGGGAAATAAGAACAGATAATGTTGCCCGCGTTCAGTTTGAAAGTTACAATTTTAATTTTGTAATTGCCCGCGTGTAACTATACCGTGAACAATTATGCTTCTCTGCGAAATGAGATGTGCGAAATATTTAATCGAGTCTTTTAATGGTTTGGCCCCGGGACGACGCGGCGAACTGATGGAAACCGCTTCAAATTTATTATTGCCGTATTAACAGAGTTGGTCCGCGTACGCTACATCAGTCTACTAGTTAATTGCAAGCGATGGATGAAATTTGCCAACCGCATTTCAAAGTTAATGTCGACTTGATATAATGAGTGCGGTCGGACACATAACTTTCGTGTTAAAGTTATTTAATTAAGTGTTGCTTTTGTTATTTTAGTAAAGTTAACCAGAAGTTGGCATCTTTTAATTAGTGCGTTCATTATCTTTATTCCATTCAAATGTAGCTTTACTATAAAATATTGGCAGCAATAGTTAATATTGTAAAAATAAAAGAGGTTGACCGTCCTTCTGGATAAAAAATTCTACGAAAAAATAGAATATTAGTGATTTCCCTCGGCTTCGCATGGATGATTTCTGGATCGCGACAACAGTGCCACCTACCGAGTCCAATTGTGAATCTAAACCATTCTCGAATCAACTTAATGACACACACAAAATTTCATCAAAATCGTTCCAGCCGTTTATGAGGAACATATATATAAATAATTATAAATAAAAATGATATAGGTAGTTATTTAGGTAAAAAATATTTTCATTTTGTACTATATATCTCTTATTTTTCCGCGTCTAAGCATTTCTTTAATTATCATAGAAATACCAAAAATCGAAATGTAAGTTAACACGCCCTTTCTAATTTTATAATGATTTCTTATAACATAATGAATGAAATTTGTTTTATACGGGTTTAAACGCATTTAATTAATATTATTAATAATTATTCCTAACTTTATATATGACCTTCCTTATAAAAATGTATAGGTACCTGACGTT